ATTCCTCGCGCTCGCATCGCTCGCATATAGCGCGCCAGCCTCGCACCAACCAAAAAGTGTCACCTCGGAGCACGGGACCCACCCGCCCCGGAGAAGCCCAAGCCTACGTGTCAGAAGCCGGCACTACCCCCACTCGCACACCTCGCTCTCGCCCGGCATGGCACACGTCAGTGGGGCGGGGAGCAGTCGCTCCACAAGATGCACGCTGCTTACCTGGCAATTAAGTAAAAAGGCCAAAGAGACAGCTACCGCCAAGAAGCCGAGAGACTGGGAAGGGTACCGCGCGGGAAGACTCCTGATAAAGCCCTCCTGAAGCCAGTTTCTCGAATTCCCCACCAGTAGACCGTCTGAGGTGCCTTCTGCAGAAGAGGATGCTTCAGTCTACAGAAGGAGTAAATCCCAAACCAACAGAAGGATTATTTGCTGTCACTCAGAGTTGCTGAACCCTTGATCCCCACCCAGAAAGGACTTCCACAATACATCAATGCACTTATCCAAAGCAAAGAGTGTCTGAGCCCACTCCCCACGGTTTGTTCTTGTTCAGCCTCCTGAGTGTGTGAGCTACCTTTCCGATGAATGGATTTGACAGACTTTTCGTTTCTGAACTCGCCATCAAGAAAGAATGGGTTAGTTTGCCCTCAGAGACTAAATATGTCATCCATAGAATGGACTTGTCCAGCCTGCTAAGGGTCAGCACCCCAAACACAGACTAGATTTAACTTTTGGAGTACAGTATGGTATGCATCCACAAAATGGACTTGTCCGGCTTTTGCCATATCCAGACTTCTGTGCCCAGGATGGACATGAAGAGATTTCACATTGTGCACAGACGTACTAGTCTTAGCCCTCTGAGAATGTGAGCCCCCATGCAAAAATAAGAGGTACCTATTTACCTCTCAAAGTGTCGGAGGTCTGATCATATTTCACAGTTCATGACACATCGCCATGGTTGTTCTATGCAAAGCCTCTCATTTTATTTATTCTTTTATTCCTGTAGCCACCTATCATTCTCTTCCTCCCACAGTTAACTTTATTGAGTTTAATGTGTATCTCTTGGTGTGATTTCATTATAAAATCTGCAATTTTGTGTTAAAAAAAAAAAAAAAGTCAAGCATGCCAGCATTTAACCAACATTTTCTTTGTTCCTTTATTTTTCCCATAAAGCTAAAACTGAAACCTTTCAAATGTTATTTATAGTTAGACAAGAGATAAAAAGGGAAATGCTTTTGTTATAAAAAGTCTATTTGATGTTAAACATCATCATAAGTTCCTTAGATCACTTTTTTCCATGAATGTTTTTAATACTGTTCATGTATTTTCTTCCTTCCAGCCAATACAAGAGTTGCGGGAAGTTGTCCTTAATATTTTGCAAGACCCAGACAGAACCACAGAAGGTACTACTATTTTGTATTTAAATTCATTCCCTCCAGCCACTCAAGTAGAAGTCATTGAGGAACACATAGCGGGTAAAATAAAGAATTGTAATTGTAAGTCCCCTGAAATGCCTCTTGCTTCTTGGTTTCCATGGCCTGCCCTTTCGGCTTTCATCAGCTGATTCATTTCTATTCTACTATTACAATTAAATATACTGCTCAACACCAAACAAAGGTTTCCACCAGAGCAGCCCTAGACTAGGGTGTCTTGCTTCCCTGGAGAGGTGGTGAGAGGAGAAGGCAAGTGACTCTTTTTTTTTTTTTGTGGTACACGGGCCTCTCACTGTTGTGGCCTCTCCCGTTGTGGAGCACAGGCTCCGGACGCGCAGGCTCAGCGGCCATGGCTCACGGGCCCAGCCACTCCACGGCATGTGGGATCTTCCCGGACCAGGGCACGAACCCGAGTCCCCTTCATCGGCAGGCGGACTCTCAACCACTGCGCCACCAGGGAAGCCCGGCAAGTGACTCTTTACCAGAAGAGACTGAGGCAAATGGGAGAGGTGCTTTGGTTTAAGTTACGTGTTTCATCATAACGAGCCCACCAACACGTATACATCCAAATTCATGTTATACCTTTAAATCATACCCCTCTCAGGAATCATTTCACTTAATTCACCATTACTGTCATTGGCCAGAACCTTTAGAGAACTCTTCTATGAAAAATGTGCCAAATACAGTGTGTGACACATTAATTATAATATTTGTTATATGAATGGGGAAAAAAAATCTACCTTGAGAAAATAAAATGGATTATTTTTATAATCTTAGAAGGTGACAAATCTTTTTCCTTTAAGTGTAGGTTTAGGGAATTCCCTGGCGGTCCAGTGGGTAAGACTCCGCGCTCTCACTGCCAAGGGCCTGGGTTCAATCCCTGGTCGGAGAACTAAGATCCCATGCGTGCCACGCAGCCAAAAAAAAACAAAGGGGTGGATTGACCTTTGGGGAACAATTAAGTCATGAGAAATTACAGCCAGCTAACCCATTACTTTTGGGAGTAAGGTTGTAGAGTACCTATACTCAGTGGTCCTCTTGCTGAGAATGATGCTACAATTCAGGTATTTGTTTATAGTGTGGCAGTGTTCTTCAAAGGGATAAAAAGAGGAGACAGGAATCCATGCCTTTCCCACCTCTTGGCCCCTGTTGGCCTCTCTTGGGGTCTCAGCCTCCAGCCACAGTATCTGTCTGTCTCAGCCTGATTCCCTTCCCTTAATTTTGGTTGTTATGGTTGGGCTATCATGCAAACTGTGTCAACACAAGACATTTTTTCACCTACTGTCCAAGGTGATAGCCATATGGTCACACCTGGGTAGGGAGGGATCAGAAGCTTAAGTGAATTAACTCTAATGAGTCAGGAAAATTGACCCAAGGTGTGATGTAAGGGTAAGAAGAGGCCAATGATTAGTCACTAAGGGAGCTCCCTCCAGAGTGAATAAGAGATTGGGGATGTGTTCACAATGTTGAAAGGGTAGCAGGGATCCATTCTCACAGGCCCCAAGGCTGCCTGGAGGGCTGGTTAGGAGGATGGCCTGACGTAGCAGGAAAAACTAGTTGTAAGTCCCACTCCTAATCAGTTACTCTTTATAGAGTATATGGAATCCATAAGGATCACTGAGAAACCATTGTAGATGACTCTGCTATTTCATTTTATTGATTTTTTAGCTTCAGTATTAAATTGCTAAATCTTTTCTTTTTGACCTTTTTATACACAGGAATTACCTCTGACTCTTTAGCTCCTGAAACTAATATAACATCAATAGAAATGCTGGCCAAGAAGATGGAGTCTGGGATGTCTTGTCTTTCTCCAAAAGAGAGGGAACAGGTTTCAGCAACACCCCAAATAACCAAGTCAGAACAGGATAATCATCCTGGTATCAAATTACAGATCGCCCCAATCCCTAGGTAAGCAAACTCTAAAGCAGGCTTGTGTTCACAGGTCTAATTCAAGTCCAATTCTCAATTTCTCCTCCACAGATCCAGGATACCATCAGATTAGTGATACCTTCTGCCCCATACGAGGACCAGGTGGTCTAATCCATCTTTGGTGTTAAGGGAAGGAGCTGAGGGTGAGGGGAGGGTTGGAACCAGTGCCAGGAAGATCTGTGTCCTTTCTCAGCACACACGCCATCCCCCCCTCACACCACCCCCAAGGAGACCTGACCTGCAATGAGGAAGGAGCTGCCAGAGTCAGGAGGGCTGCTGGAGTGGAGCCACCCCTCCCTCCTGGCATTGGTCCTCCCTCTTCACCCTCATTTGTGCTGCACTTGCAGATCCCACCCACCTTTCCAGCCAGTCCTGGGGGGCAGGAGCAGGGATGCTGCACAAACTGCCAAGCAGGGCAACCTCTGGAGCTGTGGAAGGGAAGGAGCCGTGAATAGCCCCATAAGAACAGGGAGGCAGTCAGGCACGTACTAGTTAGAGACTGCGCATAGTCAGAAGTGTTTGGTTTTGAGACAAGTGTAAGTTTAAGAATCCATAGTGATTTAAGGAACTGTGTCAGGGTATCGATGTCATTTTCTAAAACATTAGTATAACATCAGTCTCTGTTCGTGCTCTTGAAAGGAAAATTCCAAACAAAAGCACCAAGACCACAGTTCTGTATCTTCGTTCTCTGGAAAGCACAGCTGGGCCTCTTCCAGTCGAAACTCCTGTCTCAGACCTGTCATTTCCCCACTGTAGTCAGCTCATGGGTGGATGAAAGCAGGCAGCTGATATGAAGACCACCTCTTACTGTCTCCAGAATTGATGATGAGCATTTTCAGCAGACTGGCCACGAGTTTTGTGAGGCTAATGTAATCAGTGGTTTTGTGATGTGTGACCAGGATTCACTGCCTGGAAAGGTCTCTGCAACTTACCCTCCAGGCTGCCTGTGATTGGAATGCATTCAGGTTTACCAGAAAGATGCCTGATTTGTTCCAGTTTCAATTTGTGGTTTGGTCCACCATCTTAAAAGATGTTTTTTGAATAATTTACTGTCAAAGCTAGAAAGAATCTTAGAATTCATTAGTCCAGCCTCATTTGGTGTTAGGCCCAGTTTCCTCAAAACGTGTCAGCTCTTTGAAAGTTTATGGAATAAACAAACACCAACTGCCAAGTAGCTGACTTCAAATAAAACCACACTTAACACTTCATTCAATTAAATCCCTATGCTGACACCATCTGAGAGCAGATGGACACCACCCAGTTCATTCTGACAATGAGGGCAAGTCCATCTTAGGACGGGAGCTGCTATACACATTCCTCTTGTGTTTTATTAGGGAATAAGAAAAAAGTAAAGACTAACAAGTAGAATTTTGAAAGAAGTTAGAAGGTTTTGAATGCATCTCTTGCTGTCTCTCAGAATAAACGGAATGCCAGAAGTGCAAGACGTGAAGCTTATCACTCCTGTGCGGCGTTCAGCCAGGATCGAGCGAGCAGTGTCCCGCTACCCGGAAATGCTGCAGGAACATGACCTAGTGGTGGCTTCTCTCAACGAACTGTTAGAAGTGGAAGAGACAGAGTGTTTTATATTCCGCAAAAATGAGGCTTTGCCAGTAACATTAGGATTTCAAGTCCTTGAGTCGTAATTTCTTGATTTTTTTTTTTAAAAAGAGAGACATTTCAGAGCCTCCGCAAGGCAAGAAATGCACTTACCTAGGTGGCCTGGGAGAAACTGTGTAATAGAGGGGCATCGTGGATGCAGACTGTGGGCCCCAGGGCCTGGAAAGTAATTCCCTGGGCTTACTCTCAGATTTTACACCCCCATGGGAAAGTCTGGTTATTTAAGACTGTAGTTTGCCACAGCTTTACAGCATACATAAATTTCAAACTTTGAAAATTAACTTACCCACAAGTATGGTAAAAATTTGAATTTTATTGACCTACCTTAATCCCAACATAGTTATTTTTTATATCAGGAGGTCAGTTCCACAATATGATAGACTTTCCTTCCTGCATCCACCTTAGCAGAGAGGGCAAGTCCTTCCAGCATGGAAGATCTGAGTGTAGAAACTAGCCTTCCCCACTAGGGACGTGACAGACCATCTGGTCAGATCCTCTCATTCTGCAGCTGAGTTTATGCTGGCTGTGCCTTTCGCTCAGAGATCACAGATGACTTTTATGTGTGATCTTTGACTTCCATCACAGACCCTTGGAGATGAGAGGTAATTCACATCCTTTCTGGGCCTGGCCTCCTTAATGATACACAATCCTGAACTGGGGTGGTCATCTAGCTTTTTATATTCAAACCTAATTTTGCATTTGTTATTGAGAAATGCTTCAAATAAAAACAAAAGGGAGCAGCAGACAGGGGTGGGGAAAGGGCCCTTGCCTCTTCAGTTCTTTGCTCTGCTAGGGGGCACCTAGCCTGAGAAAACATCTGAGCCCCAGAGACTATCATAGGTCGCCTTTCCTTCCTCCTGGGCAACTGCTTGTGGAAAGGTAAAATCAGAATCGTTGTGTAAATATAATGTATAGGAAAACCTAGTCAATGTATTTTAGATTTTAGTTTTCTCAATATTTATGTATCATCTAAAAAACAATTAACTTTTGTTCATTTCCTGCTTATTCATTTATCATATTTATTACAGAAAACAGTGATGGTGGCTTGGCCTAGAGAATTAGGGGTTTGTCTGGGGAACGCCAATAGGCTATCCCAAGAGGCCTCACAGGGAACACCCATTACCCTGGAGAACTCACGTTGATGTGGATTTTTCCATTGTGAGGGAAGCAGATCCATCTCTCGCTAAGTCTGATTTATAAAAACGAGGTTCATAAAACTGAGGTATAAAACCATAATGCTAATAGACTAACTTTTGATGAGAAACAGATTGTCACCACAACCAAAATGCAGGAATCCACACAGCTAGGCGTTCCCTTCCCTTTAGACAGACTCACTTTACTTCTAAAGCCAAATAATGCCCGAGGGGTTGCTTAGAAGTCCTGGAAGCTGAAAATGGGACTTGGGGAAATCAAATATTCAAAATCACGAGACAAAAAGAGCCTGAAGCACGTCCCTCCTTGTTAGGAACGCCCTTGCCTCAGACCTCAGGCACTCCATCTCACGTCCATGGGCCAGTCCTCTGACTGGGCCTGCACTGCCGTCCTTTGTGCATTACCTGTTCTTTGGCTTCAAACGGTTCATCCTTGCCACCTAATGCCCATCCCCCCAGCCAGACTGGGAATCAGCTGTCTATGGTGATTTTACGTCTCTCAGAACATCGTCTCAGTATTACAGCTCAGTTCTCAAAAGAACACCTTCGCTATTGCCAGTTCCCAGCAGGACTTCTCACAGTACCACCCTGGGTACTAACAATGTCGGCTGAACCACTGGCATTGAATAATGTGTAGATTTCAAACTGACAAATTGGAGGTTTTAAACAGCCTGATTGGACTAAGTAGCATCTTCAGGATATAAAAGGATGTGGAAGTGATGGGGATGCTACAGAAAACTGCACCGTGATTCTGGAGCTCTTTGTAGATTCTTAGTAACCCTCTTGTTTAGTAAATAGCTGTTCCTAGATACCTGGAGCAGGAGGGAGGGAGAGAGGGAAGGTAAGAAGCAGGCCCTTAATCACTTGGGAGGAAGATTCATAGGGAATTGCAGGGGAGCTATGGGCCTTGGCAGAAATTAAGCCTAACGTCCAACTTCTTAGAAGGGGGGAGTGTAAAGGGAGTGTTAAAGGAAGATAAATAAGGATGGTTATATACTGGCATCCGGGTGCAGAATGACCGTGAACCAGAAGACGAGGAGAGGAGGAGGCATGACAGTTCACATTTGTTACTGTTTACTAGGTACAGGTACTCATGCTATAAAAGACATGTGTTGTGCCTGCTTGGCATGTAGTCCTTCTAGTAAGAGTGCCCTAATTTCCTTAGGACCGCCTCTTTCCCGCTCACAGTCATCTGTCGCTTAACAGGAACAGACTCCACCCACATGAGCATGTGACCCAGGCTAGGCCAACCAGAGCCCAGTATCCTGGCCAGCGGCATTGACTGGACCATGGGATGATTTCTCACCCAAAACCAGTGAGACTCGTTTCCCAGACTTTTGTTGGAGAGACTCTTTTCCTGGTAGAGTTGCTGCAAAGAGGATGGAAATCTGTAAACCTTCTTATAACCATGGAGAAAAAAACCTCCTAGAGAATGGCACCAACACAGGATAGGCCTGAGAGCTGGAGAGAGTAAGCTTACATCCAGTGACATCATTCCATCCCTGGCTAGAGCCTGGAGCTGGCCAAGCCCTGTACTTTTCAGTGATGTGAGACAATTGATTCCCTTATTCTTAAGCCAGTTTCATTCAGGTTTCTGTCAGGTGCTAGGGAAAAACCCTGACTAGTACACATATATACAGTAGTAGAGGAAACTCCTATTGCATGCTTGCTCTGGCCGCCTTCCAGGCATATTGTCTCACTACATTCTCACAGTAGCCCTATGGCATAGGTATGGAAACAAAGTGAGACAGTAAATGACAGGCAGGACTGAAGTTTCAAACTCAGAGCTGCCTGGCTCCAAGTGCAGAGCTTTTAACTCCTGTCTCTAAAGTATGGAAATGAGAACTAGGACGGTGACAAGGAAAGAGCAAATCTGAGAAAGACATTCTTGAACGGTTCCCAACTTACCAAATAAGAATCACTGTGATAGCCAAAGTGCTGTCATTTATCCTCCAGATGAGGTGATCGATCACATTTTTACCACAAGAGCACCGCCCCAGGGATGGTGCTTCTCGTCGTTTCTGCCTGCTCAGGACTGGGTGCCGGAATTCAGGCACCGATTCAGCCGGTATGACTAGTCACAGCTAGAAATGCATCTCTCTCCCATCAGCAACCCTGGTGAAACAGCCAATGCTCAGCTGTGCCAGGCCCACACCACATCTGTCTCGGGGCTCTGCCATCCCCAGGGTGCAGCCTCATCCCTGTGGACAAGCGTGGCTCCCAACCAGTTTCGCCTGGCAGCCAGTGGGAACGGGGAAGAGAGGGAGCGGAAGGCACACCCTCTCCTTTTAAGGTCACGACCTGGAAGCTGGATGCATTATTTCTGCTTAGGATGAGAGGGACCACAGCTTGCTCATGTGTCCCCACTCATCTTCAAAGAAGGCTGGGAAATGTCTTCTGGGCGCGGCCACACGCCCAACTCAAACTTGTTCCGGAAACGGGATATGACTATCGCTGTCTACCACAGCCTTAGGAGTAATGGAGTACATCTCCACGGTGCAGATAAATGAGGGCAGAGGTGACACAGGATTAAAAAAATATATACTGCATCAAATGAACAACCCCCAGCTAGAAATATCTCCCACCCTACCCTGCCTCAGATGAGTTCCTAGGAGTTGAGGAGGGTTCTAACCCAAAGTTGTATAGCCCTTCCCCACTTCGTCTCGTCTCATGACAGGTCTTGAGCCCCACCCTTTCCCCTGCAGTTCTACAAGCTGACCCAGAGTAATAATAAATCAGGTTACATGGTTCACTCAATAAAACATACAGGACACTGGAAGCCAGAGACATAATGATGACCCAAACGACCTGTCACTAAGGAGCCTCAAGTCCAGTGGGGACACATGTTAAAGAATCACAAGTGTCAAAGTGTGATGATCCTGGGCTTCCCTGGTGGCGCAGTGGTTGAGGATCCGCCTGCTGATGCAGGGGACGTGGGTTCGTGCCCCGGTCCGGGAAGATCCCACATTGCCGCGGAGCGGCTGGGCCCGTGAGCCGTGGCCGCTGGGCCTGCGCGTCCGGAGCCTGTGCTCCGCAAGGGGAGGGGCCACGACAGTGAGAGGCCCGCGTACCGCAAAAAAAAAAAAAAAAGTGTGATGATCCTGAGAAAGAGGTCCCTGGGGGAGGGACTAAGAGAAGGAACTGATCCAGTCAGGGAGGTGGGGAGGCCCCCCGAGATGTGAGGGGGGAGCAGAGATGGGGGTGCTTCAGGCAGAAGGAAAAACACGGGAAGGGCCCTTTGGCCACCTCTTCCTTTGGCAGGTCTCGCTCCCCTCCCTGTCCCTTCCCCCCTTCCCCTCTCCCCCTCACTCTTCCTCACACCCCTTAGGGGTCTGCTGCCAGGCCGATTACCCCCAGGCCCTTCTGCATTCTCTCCACCCCGGGAGGGAATTCTAAGGGTTCAGTTTTGTAGCATTACAAAATACTTTTTGTAATACTGCTGTATTTCAGCACCTTTCCAGAAAAGCATGGACCCTAGGGTCCGAGCAGTTTTCCCGGTAAAATACTATCCTCTACCCCTTGAATAAAAATCTAGTGTTTAAAGACAAAAGCCCAGGGATACCTGGTTCTTGCCTGGAGAACCTACCCCTGCAGGACTCTGAGGCCCAAAAGTCAACCCAGGAAGAAGAGTGAAAGGCCTGGAAGCTTCTGAAATGCACAGAGATTAAAAAAAAAAAAAAAAGACTGAACTCTCTGAGCACGCAGCCTGTTGTCCCTTATTTATCCTCAGATATTCCAAATGTTTCCCTTGTTCATCCACAGAACATAAAACTAGTGAACTGTGCCACAGACCGATTTCTTCAAGAGTTTGTTTGGTCATTTCAAACATGTAAATATATTCCTTCTAAGCCTCCAATATTAATGCCAGACGATAC